GTTAGGCAATGGACTAATTGTTCGGATGGCTATTGAATTAATTGTTGTTATTTCTGAAGTCCAGCCAAAGATTAGTTGATTTTGATTGGGATAACTGTAAGATATTGTTTCCAATTGACTATAAAATGCCATATGATCCGGATTCAATTTGTCCATTGATTTATATTCCTCGACTAATGCAATCACTAAATATTTGCCTTTAAATATATTGGACGAGAAAATAGAGTAATAAAAAGCATAAGACATGGAAATGGAGATCAATGGGAAATGGAGGAAATGGAGTATTTGGTAGGACTGACCGGTTTGCAGAAGCAAATGGAAGTTCCCGTTCGTAATCCTCACGAATTGGCCAAACCTCTCAATTTTAATCCATTCCTCTAAATCAGATTCGCTCTCATCTGAAACAACAAACACATCAATGGATACGTCGACTCCTGTGTCCAAATGTATTACCAAATCTCTTGTGGAAGTTATTGGATTTCATGACATAAATGCCATCACCAAACGGATGGCATGTGTGCGAGGAGTGGTAAAACCAGTCGATGCTCTGGTAATTTGCGGCCATTCGAGTGAAGTTCTGGTCCGGCGTTTGACCAAAACTGGCGAAAAACACGTCATGTGTTTGTCTTAAGGGATCAATTTGTGAGCAGTCGGTGATGGGACGCACCGGCGGTCCATTGACTCTGAGGGCGAAGTTGTGAAGTTCTGGTCCGGCGTTTGACCAAAACTGGCGAAAAACACGTCATGTGTTTGTCTTAAGGGATCAATTTGTGAGCAGTCGGTGATGGGACGCACCGGCGGTCCATTGACTCTGAGGGCGAAGTCAATGATCTCTTTCCTGGATCTCTCGCCTCTGAACTCAATTCGTTTATCTTTAGTGATGAACAAAATGGTGGGAAAGCCTCGGATGGAGAAGTGTGTGGAGACAGCGGTATGTTTAGTGCAGTCAAGTCGTGCCACATATATGTCTTTGTCGTAGTTGTGGATGTGTTGGGCCACTTGGATCCAAATGGGTTCGAGTAGATGGCAATGGTGACACCATGGCGCATAGAACAGCACCAGAAAGGACCTGGAGTACTCATGAGACTCACGGGACAACAACTCCACAAACTTGTCGTTCAACTCCACCACACGATTGCCATCAGTGGTCACCACTTGTGTCCGCTTCTGTTGTGTGTCTGTATTGGCGTTGTGACAAACGTGAGAGTAACCTACCAGACAAGCCACCGGCAACAGAGGTTAGTCTGTGTGTAACAGACGTGAAACTCAACTTAATTACTAAAGTTTACTAAACCAATTGATCACTCATTTGTCAATCAAAAGACAATTTGTTTTCAAAGCAAACAAAAGGGTTTTAATGTTTAAAAGGCGGAGACTTGACGTCACAGTAATAGTAAATCTGCTGAAAATCCCGGCTTTCATTCACTCATTCAATGAAACACTCTTTCCATTCAATAGTATTGTTATATAAATAACGTTAAGCTTATGGCATAAGCCTTATGGCTATAAGTTTGCTAACTTTGCAATACTTAGCAAACTCTTGCAATCAATCAAATTATTACACAACTATCACCAATTGATTCCACGCCAAGATATTTTAGATTATTTTATACGATTAACATGACATACATCTGTCGAAGACAACACACAGACATAACCGCAACACTGTTTGCACTCTCATTGGATGGTCTGTTCGGTGGCCGTTGTCTCCAATCAGACACACATTGTCTGCACTTTGAGTTGAATTAATGATTTCAAATGAGAACCAATTGATCACTCATTTGTCAATCAAAACACAATTTGTTTTCAAAGCAAACAAAAGGCTTTTAATGTTTAAAAGGCTTTCATTCACTCATTCAATGAAACACTCTTTCCATTCAATAGTATTGTTATATAAATAACGTTAAGCTTATGGCTAGAAGTTTGCTAACTTTGCAATACTTAGCAAACTCTTGCAATCAATCAAATTATTACACAACTATCACCAATTGATTCCACGCCAAGATATTTTAGATTATTTTATACGATTAACATGACATACATCTGTGATTATGCATGAAATGACAGCTATTGGGTGGTCAACACATCCGTCGCTATCATTACAGAAGGATTTTGTCTCCAAGAAGTTCTTGAGAACATGTGAACCAGTTTTTATCTAATGATACATATAGTCACAGCAGTTATCATTTCATATGATACCAGATTAGTGGTACTCTTACAGCATATATTGGTCTTAAAGTATATCTAGTATTCAGTATTCAAGTCAACGGTTGAGACAAAACAAGTTTCTATTTACTGAAGATTTCTTTGAATCAAGTTTTACAGAGAGTCGGAAAAAGTGATTAAAACAATATATTACTTATTTTGAGTGCTTTTGTGACAAAACAATCTTAACTCATGTTTTTGAATGCTTTACAACAGATATTTTAATATCTATTTCATTACGGATTCAAAGGAAATGAATGCAATAAAAGTCTATTGAATATATCATACGTAGGTCTGACGCCGTCTACTAAAATGCCTGTCCCTTCAGTATATGAGAAACATGTGGCTAAACAGCACTCAATGTATTATGAAATACTCGTTCACTATTTCTCTATGACTTGTAGTGAAGTCTCAATTCATTGATGACTTCAATATTGAATAGTTTGTCAAATCATTAGTTTGTGTTTTGTCTGAATACCAGTCATTCATATCAAAGCCATTTCCAAATCAATTACCATTTAATTGATATCAAAACCGATTGAAAACATATTAATTGTGAAAATGGCTGAAACAGTGACCGAAAAAGTGGATCAATTGAGTGACCAAATGGCGAAACAGCTGAATGGTAACGATGAGGATAATGAAGAAATTGAGGACAAAGTTGATCCCTGGAATGTGACCTCCAATTCACAGACTGGTGTCGATTACGACAAACTCATCGGTATTTAAGATAATTGTCTTATAATTAATGACAGTAATGACTGAATGTGTTTCATGTGATGTCTTTCAGTGCGTTTCGGTTGCAGTAAAATAAACGCTGAAATCCTGACCAAAATGGAGACATTGATCGGTCAAAAGGTCCACCACTTCCTCCGCAGAGGTATATTCTTCTCTCATCGCGATCTTCACCTCATATTAAAACGATATGAGGAGAAGAAGCCGTTCTTCCTCTACACGGGAAGGGGTCCGTCGTCTTCAGCCCTGCATTTAGGACATCTGATCCCATTCTTCTTCACGCGTTGGCTTCAGGAGGCCTTCAATGTCCCGCTCATCATACAGATGACTGACGACGAGAAGTATTTGTGGAAAGACCTGACGATTGAAACGACCAAAAAGTTGACCAAAGATAACATCAAAGACATCATTGCTATGGGTTTTGATGTGAACAAGACTTTTATATTTTCCGATTTGTCTTTCATTGGGTAAGAGATGAATGTTTTGTCACTGAATTGACATTTTTAATGAAACCAATGATTGTGCAGAAAGTGTCCCGAGTTTTACGAGAATATAATACGAGTGCAGAGAAGCGTGACTTTCAATCAAGTGAAGGGTATATTTGGTTTCGGCGACAGTGACTGTATCGGCAAAATCAGTTTCCCGGCCATTCAGGCGGCGCCCTCTTTCAGCTCATCGTTTCCTTTCATATTCAACGGCAAGAAAGACATACCGGCGCTCATTCCGTGCGCTATAGATCAGGACCCGTACTTCCGGATGACGCGAGACGTGGCGCCGAGACTATCCCTTCCCAAACCGGCTCTCTTGCACTCGTCGTTCC